AAAAAAGGTATGAGAGTATCTCTCTGGCTGGAAGTCTGTGACTTAGTTTGAAGATAATGTCAAAGTCTAACTCTGAGGATCTCACAAATGTGAGGCTCAGGCCCTGTCCTGGCCCCCACTGCAACCCGGGCCCTGCTCCAGAACAAGGCTGGTTTGAAATGGAGAGGTCTGCGCTGGCAGGATCACCTTTTAAAGCACCCCCCACTGCTCTTCTCCCTGCACCGTGTGTGGTGGTCATGGCGGTCGGAGCTGCAGGCTTCGGCAGCTGGGCTCTGGGAGAAGGGGAAGGGGCTCCGGGACAGGCTTGAGGTTCCTTGAGTTCAGCCTGCTTGTCCTTGCTGTGGCCGGCCTGTCTAAGGCAGGGCAGGCACATAGACAGTTGCTCCTTAGAGCCCTGATCTTGGAACTGTCTCAGGCGGCCCCTTGGGTTTTCCCCTCCAGAGATGCCCTGGTGACCAGCGTGGTGAACTGCATGACGAGCTTCGTTTCGGGATTTGTCATCTTCACGGTGCTCGGTTACATGGCTGAGATGAGGAATGAAGATGTGTCTGAGGTGGCCAAAGATGCAGGTAGGACCTCAGGTTTTGTGCAGGTCCCTTGCTCCTACTGAGTTGCTTTGCTTTGAACCTTTTAAAAGTTATTTTGATTTATTTTTAAATGTTCCCGAAATTTTCCAAAGAAGGCTGGACATGGTAGCGTTCAAGACCAGCCTGGGCAACATAGTGAGACCCTGCCTCTGTAAAAAATAAATGAGCTGGGCATGGTAGTGCACACCTGTAGTCCCAGCTACTCAGGAGGCTGAGGTGGGAGGATTGCTTGAGCCTGGGAGGTCAAGGCCACAGTGAGCCATGATCACACCACTGTACTTCAGCCTGGGTGGCAGAATAAGACCCTGTCTCCAAAATAAAAACGTTTTTTATTCAAAGACTTGAGAGAAGGTTGATGCCTTGGAGATCTTTCCATGTGTTCAGGCCATGCAGGGACAGGGCAACTTCCTTGGCACCCAGTTCTGGGGCCTTCAAAATCTGTGGGCTTGAAATGTTGACTCTGATGATGGCTTTAAAACCCGTGTTTGCTTCCTGTGATGGTCTTGCGATGGCTCAAAGTCTAGTAAGCAAATAATCATTTATCCGTAGAACTGCGCCTTGCAGAAAAAGAAAATCTAGCCAATATGACCACTCTATTTTACCGTGAAGTTTTCGTGGAAAAAGAAAAAAGCGACAGAGGTAGAAAAAACAGATGACGGCATCTAGTGGGCGAGGTCCCAGGGCCTTCTTGCTAACAAGCTTTTATCTTTGGCCTGATTCGGTGCTTTGACCAACCCCATGCCCCAAACGAGGGCACCCCTAGCTAGCCCATGAGGGGCTGAAGACATGTCCCTCACACTATCAAAAGGGAGTTCACAATAGAAAGAGGTCTTTATTCCAAGGCCTCTGTGACTCTACGGAAATCAATGTAACATTTCCTACTGTTCTGGAGCTGAAGATATCAGAGGGGGTAACTGCCACGGACTTCAGAAATATCAATCCGGGTCCTGAAAAATCCCACAGAATTGTTACACGGTGGAAACTCTTATTCTTGTGTGCAGCTTTGCCAGTCTCTGGGTCTCGGGTCTGTTACCCACCCCCAGGGTTCATGGAGGGCACACGGCTTTCAAGATGGAGGCCCCACCCTTCCTGCCTCCCAGGAATTGGGGTGGCCAGGTCAGACGGAGTAGAGAGTGAGGAAGCACTTGGTGTGTGTCAAAACCTGATTCGCGCATAAGGTCTTGTGATGAGAATTGTAACTTGTCGTCGTGGCTGAGTTTTCCTCTGTGACATCTTTGTAGGATAGGTCTTGTCGACCACCTCCTCCTCTCTCCCCTCTGTCTCAGGTCCCAGCCTCCTCTTCATCACATATGCAGAAGCGATAGCCAACATGCCAGCGTCCACTTTCTTTGCCATCATCTTCTTTCTGATGTTAATCACGCTGGGCTTGGACAGCACGGTGAGGACACGGGAAGGGGAAGTGGGCTGTGGGAGGATGAAGTGGAAAGGAGGAGGACGCAGCTGGACTCAATTCCCTCCCATCCCTGGCCATCCCAGGTAGTGGTGGCTGCTCCCTTCTGGTGCCCCACACCGCCCACTGACTCCTCAGCATTTACCACCCTCTGGTGCATTCGAGTCATTCATGGGATAATGTGGGTCAAGCGCCTGGCACAGGCCCAAGGCTCACATACGTGAACTGTTATTGAGCACTGTTCCTTGGCCCAATTATGGCGCCTACGGGCCAGGGCGAGGTCTCTCCTCGGTCTCTGCTTTGCCAAGCGTTCAGTTCAGGGCCTGGAATTACTAGTGTGGAGTGAGTCTCAGCTTTGAGTTGGCCTTTCTGGTGCAGAGAAGGTCTCCCCGAGACCTCATATATCGAAGTTCTGTCCACGTGTTCTGTTTTGTTTCCTGGCTCTCCTTAGTGACGGGCTTTAAATGACAGTGTAAAACGGCGAAATACTCTTTGAGATGCTTTCATGGTCCAGTGAGTCGGGGAACTGGTGATAATCAGCTTGACCAGTCACTCAGCAACGTTACCCCCTTACCCCTCCCTCCCATTCACTGTTCTGAAGGCTACAGCCTTGTCCCAAAGCCTCCACTGTGACTGCTTGCCTGTACCTCCCAGTTTGCAGGCTTGGAGGGGGTGATCACAGCTGTGCTGGATGAGTTCCCACACATCTGGGCCAAGCGCCGGGAGTGGTTTGTGCTCGCCGTGGTCATCACCTGCTTCTTTGGATCCCTGGTCACCCTGACTTTTGTGAGTACCACCCCCTCAGCTTTGAGTTGGCCTCCCCTAGGGCAACAGAACACTAAGGAAGCTGTTCCTCTCCTTCCATCTCACACGGTGCCCTGGCTTTGGGACCAAAAGAGGGGAGGTTGTTATTTCCATTAAAAAGTTTGTCATCAAGAAGAAAAGTTGTTTCTTGCACATCTGCTTGTAGACTCTGTGCATAGTATCCACCAGCTGTCAGCATTTTACAGTAGATCCCCCTGGATTTCAGGCTTCAAAAACTATCTGGAGAAAATGAGGATTTGCTTTTCCAGCCTATTTCCACTCTTTAGAGCTGCTTTCGTGGGGATACTGCCCTGACATTTTGTACGTCATGTGTGTCATGCCGCTTGGTCTCCTCCAGAATTTGCAATGGTAAAAAAGTCACACCCTCTCTAGAGATTTCTTTCTTTCTTTCTTTCTTTTTTTTTTTTGGTAACTGAAGTAAATACTCTGAAGCAAATTTTGCAGATGTGCATCTTTAAGCCCTGACCCTGATGGCCCTGGAGTGGGGGTCACAGGGACTGAGTGGAACCCCAGTGAGTCATGATTTAGGACAGAAGGCAAAACTGTGACCAAGGCCCTTAATGTGTCTGGTATCCTGGGCCCTTCTGGATTCAGTCTTTAGAGGCAGGGATTCTCCAGGGTCCGGTCCACAGCAGGTGTTCAATAAGTTGAAGAAAGTTTAAAATAGAACCCAAGGCCCTTTGGAGTTTTTCTCTTAAAGTTTAATGGGGAGAGGAAATAAGAAGAATGAACTACACAGGATGGGGGAAGAGGCGTCTGAGTGGGTAAAACCTGCCCACACTGCAGAGGCCTGTCCAAGAAGCAGTTTTTTTTTTTTTTTTTTTTTTTAGATGGAGTCTTGCTGTGTCCCCCAGGCTGGAGTTCAATGGTGCTATCTCAGCTCACTGCAACCTCCACCTCTTGTGTTCAAGCAATTCTCCTGCCTCAGCCTCCTGAGTAGCTGGGATTACAGGTGCCCGCCACCACGTCCGGCTAATTTTTTGTATTTTTAGTAGAGATGGGGTTTCACCATGTTGGCCAGGCCGGTCTTGAACTCCTGACCTCAGGTGATCTGCCCGCCTCTGCCTCCCAAAGTGCTGGGATGACAGACATGAGCCACCGCACCCGGCCTAAGAGGCAGTTTCTGGGGTACTCACGTTCAGTCCCAGGTGGGATTTTTCCAGAATGATTCTAAGTGAGGAAGCCCCTGCAGGTCTCTATAGTTGGAAGGGGTGGCACCTCAGAGGGCCCTCACCCAGGCTCTGCTCTCCCCTCCAGGGAGGGGCCTACGTGGTGAAGCTGCTGGAGGAGTACGCCACGGGGCCTGCAGTGCTCACTGTCGCGCTGATCGAGGCAGTCGCTGTGTCTTGGTTCTATGGTAAGACGCTTCCTTCAGCCAGCTGGGTCCCTTCTACACCATCAGCTGGCACAATGACAAAGGGCTGATTTCACCAAAAAAGGCGGTGAAGGGCAGTTTGCAAGATGTGACCTCCCGACGATGGGTCTGTAAGAGTCTCGGCCAGGCGTGGTGGCTCACGCCTGTAATCCCAGCACTTTGGGAGGCTGAGGCAGGTGGATCACCTGAGATCAGGAGTTCGAGACCAGCCTGCCCAACATGGTGAAACTCCGTCTCTACCAAAAATACAAAACAAACAAAAAATTTAGCCGGGCATGATGGTGCATGCCTCTAATCTCAGTTACTCGGGAGACTGAGGCAGGAGAATTGCTTGGACCTGGGAGGCAGAGGTTGCAATGAGCCAAGATCACGCCACTGCACTTCAGTCTAGACAACAGAGTGAGAGTCTGTCTCAAACAAAAAACCCAAAAACAGACAAAAGTAAACCACTTTTGCATGTTATTTGTTACACATATTATCCAGGAGGGGACACACATTTTGGGTTGCACACAGGCCCGTATTTTTTTTTTTAAAAAAAGAAGAAATCTTCCTACCTCCTTGGCAATTCAGAGGACCAAGTTCAATTGTGTGAATCTCCATAGACCTGCCCTAGGAACTGCTGGGACCTTTCGGGGAAGCAACCACAGAGCACCTTCTCCTTCTCAATTTCTCACTCTTCTTTGGGAGTTTTCAGTTCTCACTTCCACACCAGTGACTTTTTGTAGAAGAACCTTGATCTTGATCTGGCATATGAATGGGCAATATTGTGGTTAAAAATTTCCCTTGAAAGTTTCCAGTGTCATGGTCAAAGCCAGTGTCTGTCAGACGGATTCACCATTCTTGGACAAAATTCAACTTTTTTACAATAACAATGAAATCAGACACACACTCAGCTCTCAGGAAGGCAGTGCGGCACCAAGAAGGGGGTGTGCGTCTCTTCCCAGATGCTCATCCATCCTCCCAGATGTCCATCCATCCTTCCAGATGTCCATCCATCCTTCCAGATGCACATCCGTCCTCCCACCTATGTAGAAAGAGTCTTGCTTGCTATAAAAATGCAGTTTTGTGACAAGTCCCCCAGTCCCACTTTCGGACCAGATTGTTGTTGCTGCACTCCTCCTAGAGAGAAATTCCAGAGCTACTCTGTGTGTCCAGGGTAGGAATTCCGGCTTGTCATTTCCCCTTGTCATTCCCAGTGCTGATTCTGTGACTCTGACTCTCCCAGAGAATCAGGGCACAGCAGCACAGCCCGTGCCCTTTCTCAGCCTCTGCCTCTCTTCCCCTTGGGCGGTTCCAGGCATCACTCAGTTCTGCAGGGACGTGAAGGAAATGCTGGGCTTCAGCCCGGGCTGGTTCTGGAGGATCTGCTGGGTGGCCATCAGCCCTCTGTTTCTCCTGGTGAGTTGCGATTTCCCTGTTCCTCCTTGCCCTGGCGAAAGACTTGCCCCCAGATACATAAAAAATGAATTGTAATGGCTGGGCGCGGTGGCTCATCCTGTAATCCCAACACTTTGGGAGTCTGAGGCAGGCGGCCAACATGGCAAAACCCCGTCTCTACTAAAAAAAACACAAAAATTAGCCTGGTATGGTGATGGGCATCTGTAATCCCAGCTACTCAGGAGGCTGAGGCAGGAGAATCACTTGAACCCAGGAGGCGGAGGTTGCAGTGAGCCAAGATCGCACCACTGCACT